TCGCTTCCTTCAGCTTCTTGATTTGGGCTGCCGACGTGAGAAGGTTCTTGTCCAGCGTCGGGTCACCGACGGAGAGCTTAATGATCGGCTTCGGGGACGGCGACGGTTTCGCGTTGTCCGAAACGGTGCGAATGGGGTTGAACACGAGACCCGCATGGTTCGACATGGAAACGTCCCACGAGCTCATTTTGCGTTTTATCGATGTTTTTATTGTTTTATTTGCTTTCCACAATTACGGGTTGCACTGATGCTTCTCTAAACCTAACCTTTGCACAACACCCAAATGCCACGGAGGAATACCGCACGGAAGCAGGGGCAGTGGGCGCAAATAAAAAAAAAAAAGGCATAACAACACATCAACAAACAGATATCGCAATGTGAAACAAAAAGGCACAGAAACGTTACGTACGGAGCGGAACAGGCACTAGTTGTGTGTGTGTGTCGGTGTGTGCACAGCGGCGGCAGACATCCTCGCTGTCCTCCTCTCCCACCTCACTTCTCTCTCCCCCCGGTGTAGACGAGCGGCTCGCGGTGACGCACTGAGGGTCCGCTCGCTATTAAAGGGGATGGCGGGCACGGTCTCGTGGAGGCGGTTGGGCTGGGCGGCATCAGCGTCACTATCCAACGATTCCTCCGTTGGCTCGTCGGGGGGCACACCCAGATTTCCCGAGTTACATACATAAGAAGCTCCTCATCACGTGCTGCCGCAGTGCGAGATCATAACGGGGAGTGCGTGGGTGATCGCCCACGCAGCTGACCCCTGGCGGTGCGAAAAGACCGCCCATTTCACTTGCGCACAACACCCGCTCAACCACAATCACATAATTCAGTTTACGGCCACAGATGAGCAACAAAGGACAGATCAAAGAGACCCAAGCCAAATACGATAACAAAATAGAGGCCTCTAACAGCCTCAAGCGCACACGCAGTACACGTCTATTGCCCTCTTCATCCACCCCGTCGTGGTATGTCACCAACCAAAGTATGATCCTTGTTTTTGAACCTTCGTTTTGCATTTACATGACTCTCATTGCTCGCATATACAATTTTTTCCCTTCTTATTTACCTTCATTTCCTGGCACCCCCGCCAAACCCGTTGTTATTTCCCTTCGGAATTTTCCCTCCGGCCGCCGCTTCAGTGTGCTGAGATGTAGGTAACGAGGTCCAGCACTTTGTGGGAGTACCCGGTCTCGTTGCCGTACCATGAGGCAAGCTTCACGAAGCGATCGTTGAGGGAAATGCCGGCCTTGACGGCAAAGACGGACGTCAGCGCGACGCCATTCATATCAGTGGAAACAACCTCGTCCTCCGTGTAGCCAAGAATGCCTTTCAGCTCCCCTTCAGAGGCTGCCTTGATGGCGGCGCAGATCTGCTCGTATGTCGCCGGCCTCTCCAGACGCGCGGTGAGGTCGACAACGGACACGTTGGGAGTCGGCACACGGAACGCCATGCCGGTCAGCCTGCCGTTCAGCGCGGGAATAACTTTCCCAGCCGCCTTGGGTGCTCCGGTGGCGGACGGAATAATGTTCTGCGCCGCACCGCGACCACCGCGCCAGTCTTTCTGCGACGGACCATCCACTGTTTTTTGTGTTGCCGTGGTGGCATGCACTGTCGTCATGAGACCCTCAGCGATTCCGAATTTCTCATGAATAATCTTCGCAAGCGGCGCAAGGCAGTTCGTTGTGCACGAGGCATTGGAGACGATTTCCTGTCCCTTGTACATTGTGTTGTTCACACCCATGACAAACATGGGCGTGTCGTCCTTTGGCGGGCCTGTCATGACGACTTTCTTCGCGCCGGCCTGAATGTGCTTGCGGGCGGTCTCGTCGGTGAGGAAGAGACCTGTCGACTCGACCACGACACCGCGGCCGACCTC